GCACGATATTCGAGATATCGCAGTATATTTTCACAAACCGAATTGATTTGCAAATGAGTGTATTTCTCGAAAACAGTGCAATTGGGGTTCAAGTGGATCATAGGGTTGACGGAAGCTCGGGGACTGTGCCTGCGTGATGAGCCCCAAGAAGGGCAAAACCGGTCGTGGGCTGTCGAAGAGCTCTCAGCAACCTTGTGAGTAGTTTCCTTTATGAAAATATACTGCGATATCTCGAATATCATCCCAACTGAAACATGACGCGACCTGTGTGCATTTCATTCAGTTATAGAATATCATAAACGAGAGATTCAGTTGAGTCTCTTGTGAAAACCAAATCGATTTGCAAATGAGTGTATTTTTTCTCTCATAAATCGATTTGCAAATGAGTGTATTTCTCTTTTCTCTCATATTCTCCAGTTACCCTTTCGCATTCGTCGCTTGCCTTCACTTTCTACGTAACCATGCTCTTCATAAATAAATGATAATACTCTGGCTTCCTATAGGCGGCTAAACCACTATGACATACTTCTGCCTTTGCGAGTGCTCACGAGAAACTGATGAAGTGAAACATCGTCTCTTTCTTATTCATTACATACAGACTGTCTTAAGTTTCACTAGAAGTCAGCATTAGTTCATCAGATACGGTTGAAATTGGGTGCAAAGTATTCCATCAAACAGATCCCTATCACTGGTAGTCACTCCAGAAACAGCAAGTGCCTTCGAGTAGGAGGGTGACCACAACTTCGAGGAGTGCATAAATTGGAGTGTGAAATGTGGGAACCGTGATGCTGACTTGAAGTTCATGAATCAGCGGGAAAAAGATAACCCAACCCGAAGAAAACAACTAACTTTGTCACTGTCCCATTCAGAAGATTCGGAATCTGCACCAGCCATTGTTGTCGGTGCTGGAGTTGAGCCGGCTAACCAGAAAGGAGCAAGAATGGTCGCTTGGACGGCGGACAAATTCGGGTGCATCACGGAATCCCCATCGCAAATCAGCTGCTCAATAACAATGAACCGCGTCAGACGGTCAGCCAGTTCGGACCACAGGCGAAGTGCGTCAGGTGAATAACAAATGATGGGGGCTAGAACCAGAGAAAGAACGAGGATCGTAGTAAATCCTTTAGCGGATGCTCTGGAAAATTGCTCATTAGTTAGAAACAAGATGGATAGAGGAACATGTACACTTTGGCATCAAGCACTGAGTACCGTATTTCGAGAATTTCCAAAGCGCTCTGTTTGCTATTCCAATTGGGATGTAACTTACTAGTTTATCGAATCCTTCCAAGTCTTTTACTTCCACAGTTTGACGCATTCAGATTTCGAAATCAGAAGCAGAACTCCAAAGCGAATTTTCCATATAGGGGACCACTCATATCATCTAGCTAAAGTGAATAGTTAGTCGTCTAACCGCTGTGTACCCCTGGAGCAGCTATCATGTTAAGTCAGGATTAAATTACAGTTACCCTAGATGGATGGACGGCTTGCCGATTTTCGGTTGAATCTTTTCTCAGTTCTCACGACCATTCCATAATTTGGTTTCTGCGGGGAATCTACCAGAGGAGATTAATGTAAATTCTGCTTCAAAAAGCAGAAACTGATGTTCTCTTGAAAGAGCACTACTCAACTATTGTTCCTCAAATGTTATACGGGGACACAGAACGAAATAAATAGATAAAATGTTGAAAATTA